TGTTTTATCATGACATAGTCGCTAGTCTCAAATTTGCTGCTACTGGCTATTTGAAACAGCAGTAGTGATGGTATGTTAGACCGACCATTAATTGAAAAAACATTTACAGATTTTCATACTTTTTTATGATATATTTTGCAAGGTACCTTATAATTTGCCATCTAGGTTGGGTTGTGGCTAGTAATACACAAATGACTGAATTATTTTGAATGTGTTTGCTCTTTGTTTCTGTTGCAAAAATATCCTGTTAATTTAAGGGTTTGAACATGTGGAGGTCAATTTGTATTCGAATTGATTGTTTACTGTATGAGAGCCCTGAGTTCTGTTCTAAGCGGATCCCAGGCAAAGTATATGATAAATGTCAGTACCTATGTCATAAACACATTGAGTAGATAGGGCTGTTGTAAACACTGTTCAGCTGGCTGCCAGCGTTGTGCAACTTTCTGTTGCACCAGATTACCTGTCGCATGGGTGAGAGAGCCAGGTCGGTCAGGACCTGACCCAGGTCACGTCACACAGTAGCGGTTAACCCTTCACATGACCGAGATAGAGGATTGTTGGTAATACCGAGGCTGTACTGGGAGACAGCTGCATAAATTTACATACTCTATGGTGGTTGCGCTTTGTAAATACTGCTTATGTCTTTATGACTTATCGGTAGCCATCAACTTGATATACAGTACTTATATTTCTCAGTGTTTACATTCAAGAATATAATTCTTTGTGTTAGATGGGTTAATGTGTGTGGAGTATATTTAAGAAAACAACAACCCTATTGTAGATTTTCAAGGTTGTTTCCAAGATGTGACAAAAGGGGTGTTTGTAGTTTGATAGCCTTTTACGAATGTTTGATGCTGTAAATTGTGGTTTATAGATATGTCTTTCACTTGATTTACTAGTGTGAAGTGTATTTCTGAAAGAAAATAATCCATGCAACAACAGTGGAACCTATCTTCTGAGAGTGATGTTGCTTGCTACATTAACAGTGCTCCTACAGTTAGATAAGTAGGTGTCCATATTTACCCCAAGATAACCAGTTTACAGCATGTTGATAACAGAACTACCTGTCTATCATACTGAATATAGGAAGAATGTATGTTGTTTACTGTAGATATGGTCAGTGTATGTAGGTATGACCAGCCTCCTCTAAACTTCCATCCCTAAATGTCTCACATGATCAAGCCTGCTATGTTTGTTTACAACAATCAGGGCAGGTGTTGCCAATAAATTCTCTTTGAAATCAGGCCACTACAGCACTCGACATTTTCCTAGGTGTCTTGTGGCCAAAAATCACATGCTAAAGTATACAGATATTGCATTTAAGTTGTATTATTACCTATGTATATTTTGTATATTGGTAGTGTATTATTCATGATAAGATCATGCTACATCGACCTTCTTGAAATATTTTTAAAATGGTTGTGTATATGAATTTGGATTTCATCATGAATAGATATGTAAGCTAGTTTCAGGTCCATATATAGCGATGTAATTTGATCGTGACATCATGCTCACCAGTAACGTCACAATGTTCATTGACGTTCTTCTGTAATATCTCATTTCGCCCATGCCATATCGCTTCTGGAAGCCAGTTTGGGGTGATACTGTCTTGCATAGCAGTAGAAAGCACTGGAAATGACCTAAACTGAAGTTGAATTCTTTGAACAGAAAATGTATTTGCAAGAGCTGACGAATTATGCTGCAGTCTGTTTGACAAATCAACATGACAGTCTTAATATTGTCTCATTGTCACTGATTTCTGAAGTTTAGGATACAGTAGTATACACAATGGGGCTACAGGACCAGGTACCCCCCTGGGAAGTCCCTAATCCCGTAGCCCCATTGTGTATACTACTACTGAGGTGCATGCAAAATTTGATGAAAATCGGACAAATAGTTTCTGAAATATTGACTTTTAAGTGAGCATGGGGTCGGTCGGGAAAAGGCAAAATGTCCAACTTTTTGTCGTAATAAAGTCTTAAGTAATCTAATGAAGTCATCGAGAGTGTTCCCAATGCCGTTTTGCTATAGCGTAACCATCTGCCGAGATGCATGCAAAGTTTCTAGAAAATCGGTCAAATAGTTTAGGAAGTAATCACTTTTTAGTGAGCACGGGGTCGGTCTGGCGAAAGGCTAACAATCCAACGTATTGTCGTATTGATGATTCGACAGATTTCATTTTGATGGCTTCGACGGGTCTGGTGACTTCGTTGTTGATCCACCACTCACGGTAAGCAGGCCAGGTCAAGCGACTGCGTTTGTATATGCTTTCTAAGGCTTTGGCGATTCGGATGGCCTTCTCTCCCACGCCTCGGCAATCCTCCCGGTTGGAATCTAGAAGGTCGGCTCGCGTGAAGCTGTGCAGGCACCTTTCGCCGAAGTGTTTCTTTTCCTTATGCTTCGATTGGTCGTACAACAGTTTGTTGAAATATTTTATCCACGTGTAGTGATACTTGTCGCCTTGCTGGAACATGAATGTATTGATCGTCTTGTGGTGTTTGTTTGTGAGGTAGCTGATCCTGTACACTATCGTTTTATTCCCTTCGTGTCCGAAGTTATTGATGGCTATGTCGTCGTTCTGTTTTTCGATTTTGGTGACCTGGGAGATTGGGGTGGGTTTGTCTATGCCGTCCCAGTTGATCCCATCGTCTTCGGGATAACTCGAAAGTCTGTCTGAATGTGCTTTGGCCGGAATCTTCGCGGATCTCGTCGCAACCCTCATGCAATCATCGCCTTTGTTTTTTACGTTGACCATGGATTGTTTATTCTTGTAGTACGGTGACAAGTCTAGGTACGTTCCTCCTTTGAACGGCATGTAGTTCACTACGTCCAGATAGACGGTGTCGATCCTGTCCACGACCCAACCCCGAGCCCATGTGCGTGTAACGTTCTAGTGATTCTCGTATTTTTTGCAACAAGGTGTTGATGGACGCGTCGTTGGATTCGGGTTGAGTCATGACTTCTTGCTTGCCTCTGAAATAGGGCTGCATGTGCTCGGTGGTGCCGACCATCTGCTGTTTGTCCAGCGACATTCTCACTGTGAGTTGAAATTTGAGGCTTTCCAGATTGTTCAGTTCCTCGTTGACTTTGTCGGCGACCAAGGGTTTGATGTCGTCGACGTCCATGTTTTTGTTGACGTCCAGCCTCCAGCCTCTCAGATACTTACCTACGGCGTGCTTCATCCGCATGAACCGTAGTTCGATGGGTTTGTGATCCTCCAGCAGTTCGACGAGCTCGGCTTTCCCCATGCACATATAACCTCTGAGCCCACGCTTTTTCGCTTGGATATTGAGCTGTTTCACCGTGGATTGAGGAGGTTTGTCGACGATGCCGAGCAATCTCAACAGCTGAGATTTCCTCAAACGGGAGTAACCGATCACTCCGCGTTTTTGGGCAATCCTTTTCAGTTCTCGAATGGTAGTCATCTTTGCTATATCAATGTGAGAAAACTTTTTTCTGAATGAAAATAATTATATTCAGATGCGAAGTCAAATCGCTAATAGGTTGTTCGCTATAGTCAGATGCAAAATCTGGGCATCTTGGGCAGCATCGTTTCCTGGTTGTTAGGCTTCTTGTCTAAAACGGTCACGTGGCTCGGTCAAAACCTGTGAGCTTTCGTTGCCGTGGCGGGTCTGGTGTACGTCGCAGCTAAGGAATTTTTAACCAAATGAGGCACAGTCTGACAGAGATCCCACCGACCACCAGCGCCGTTTTGTGATCGACGTGCTGCTGATTGTTTGCCTGCACGTGCAGGGGAAGCTGCTGCTGTTGTTGTTGTGGTGGTTCTACTTCTTCAGGTGTCAGTGCCACGATGCCTGTTGCATACTGCAGCACGGCACGACTTGACTCTTATTATTGTTATTGACGCCTGGGTATGATTTAGTGGAAATCAACATAACGTAGCCAAGCCAGCCAGCCGGTCGACTGTACAAGCTGAGTCGAGACACACACACACTGCGACTGGCTCACAGCGCTCGCTCAGTGCTAACGAGATGGCACCTTCAGAGATCTGTAGCCTCGCTAGTCAGCCGGTCATGCATCATCATCATAGGCGAGCTGAGGCACACACGCGCACACACTTATACTCGTCCACGGCGCTGTCGCTCAAAGCAACCCCTGAGACCGTAGTGAGGTGATGACTGCCGAGACCTGCGTTTCATTCAGCTAAAAGCACCTCTCGCCTCGATAATATATAACAAGTACGACAATACGTTGGATTGTTAGCCTTTTTGCCAGACCGACCCCATGCTCACTAAAAAGTGATTACTTCCTAAACTATTTGACCGATTTTCTAGAAACTTTGCATGCATCTCGGCAGATGGTTACGCTATAGCAAAACGGCATTGGGAACACTCTCGATGACTTCATTAGATTACTTAAGACTTTATTACGACAAAAAGTTGGACATTTTGCCTTTTCCCGACCGACCCCATGCTCACTTAAAAGTCAATATTTCAGAAACTATTTGTCCGATTTTCATCAAATTTTGCATGCACCTCAGTAGTAGTATACACAATGGGGCTACGGGATTAGGGACTTCCCAAGGGCTCAATTTTTAAGTTGAGCCCTTGGGGGGTACCTGGTCCTGTAGCCCCATTGTGTATACTACTGATACTGTCACAGAACATCCAGGCATAATAAATCGATCTTAGGGGTCATTGCATTCTGACCTTTTACCCTCAACGTTTTTTCACCTTGGGCATGTTAGGCATTTGTCATTTTGATAAATGAAGACCATGTCCAGTCTTAGCTGCCATGGCAGTCTAGGCAATAAGAATCTTGCAGAATCTGCTAAGAAATGTCAGTAGAGTTCATTTATAATTTCTTTTAATCCAGATGAATGAAAAACGAGTCAAATATTGCAAAATGATTTGAGTGAGGGTTGAATATTTGTGAATTTTTATGTCAGTTGGTCATTATAAAATTCCTGTTTACATGTTATTCCCTTTAAATGTGTAGATGATGTTTCACAATGTACATTTCTGTTTGATTCTTTTCAGCATGGCACCAACAGAAGGCCTACAATACAGCTTGATGGGAACCAAGGGGTGAGTAATGAGTAATGTATATAGGATATGTGACACTAAAGGAAACCACATTATGCCCAGGTCAGCCATCATCCATCCATGGGGTAGGGGGATTTATGTGTTGATGGGAATAACATTAACATCATAATTTCTCTGGTCATTCATATTTCAGTTACTGAAATTGATATGTGCTGATGGTGTGTTCAGGCTATCCATTGTACGTGCATCAGTAACGTTTACTTGGGCAACCATACTGAAACTCAGTTTTCTATCGTACATGTAGTACTGGTAGTGGGCACAGTGACTGCTGAGTGTAGATAGGACTTGCATCAGAGATGCCAACCCCTACGATTCTACGAGAGTCGTTACGAGAAATCAACGCAAAATATGCGTCTACATTAGCAGTAAAAATATACAATTTTTTTTCGAAAAATACATTAAATTATGTTATCAAATAGCACACGTACCATACACAATAAATTTCAACCATGTGTGGATACTTTCTTCTGATTTAGGTGAGGACAATGTTAATGACAATTTCTTAGAATATCTATATTTATTATTAAATATAAAAATTCTTTGTAAAAGTTAATACTAATTTTAGCATCAGTTTTTGGCCAAAATACAAACTGGTCTAAATTAGGGTTGGCATCTCGGCTTGCAGGGTTGGACGACTACTTGTAAGTATCATTGTCCCCCACTGTGGTAGTTAAGCGACAAGAGGTCCCTGGGGCCCTATGCTTGTCATGTTGTGAGCAAGTGAATAGCACCACTTTCAGCAATACTTAAGCTATATCATAGCATCCTGAAAGCAACTGATTCTAGATCAGGCAGAAATGAGTAATTGTCCATGCTATTGGGGTACAGTGACATAAAGTCAGCGAGGTCACAGCCTGACCACTTGATCCTCAGTTTCTTTGGCTGTACAAAAAGCATGACATATATGGTGATTCATGGGAGCTTCTCCTGACAGCTGAGTATGGATTGGATGACAGTGCTGTGTAAACCACCAGCATGTTGTTATTCCCAGTGTCTTGGTTTACCTGGGCCATAATGTTCAACTGACAGGTACCTTGTGATGCAGCTATAACACAAGTTGAAAATGTAGATGCCATGAAAAATACAACCCCATTTCTATCAAGATCTGGCTAGCTATTCTCGAAGCGTTCGTAGCCCTATGAACTTCTTAAGCCCATTCTTAACACATTGGGTAAGATCAAAGTTAAGAATTCTTAAGGCTATGAATGTTTCGAGAATAAGGGCCCTGTTCTTTGAGAATTCCATTTAATTATTAGAATTGGTGAGAAGTAATTGTCTTACATAGCCTTGCATCATATACACTGTGTGTATATAGAGCATGAACATGTGGACATTGAGAAGACCTTGTTGATAACACGATAAAGGCCTTTGACCATGATAACCTCTGACCTATTCTGGTGATTAAAACATGGTCTTTGTTTCGCTTTCCTGTTAGTGTTAAGACAAGTCAGATGTAGAGCTTGCTTTTGATAAAACCTGATCAAGATTGTCTGAGCGCCAATGAAATTTTCTTGTCTGTTTTTTGGTTTACTGCAAACAGTTGAAATATTGCAATAAGATTTCAAACTAGAAGTATTTACTGAAGCCAGAATAAACGTAAACAGTTTTTGTTGCTGGGTCAGTGTTGTCATGACTTTCAAAGAAATGCCTGTATTGCAGGTGATTGTTGACAGTTTCATTTGTTACTGTTGTTGAAGTTAAATCAACATTGACTGTATAACATACTGGTATGTCAAATCTGTATTCTGGCCATCTGCCAGTTATCGCAACCTCTTCTATGTTATTTTTGAAATGTTTGGAATATTTGTGAAACTATGAGCAAATGCACTTGTTTCAGTCTGTGGAAAAATTTGAGTTGATTTCCATTGTACTGCTGGGAGAGTGAAATAAGTGGACTTGGGACTCTGTCATGTTGTACCAGTTAGCATCATTGTTTAAACACCAGTTGATCATGAGCATCTTTTAATATACAAATAACATTTTCTATAATTCGTGGTATCACATTGACATATTCAATTCACGATAATGTGTAAAAATGTTTTCATCAGTTTGTTATCTGCTAATGAATGCAAACCAATATCCCCAAAACGAGTACACATGCTTATAAATAACACTATTTACTTTGCATTAACGTTGTGTGGGTGATGTGTGCATGCTAAAAAATACAAACAAGCGCTACATTTGGTTGTAAATTTGCATTTTGGGGAAGAGGTGACACATTGGAAGAAATGACTGATTGAAATCTGCATCATCCTGTTCCTGGATTTTTGTGCTTTTCTGGTTTGTTTTAATTATTTTCTACAAAGAGTCAATTAAACACCAGTGAATCCTCTTGGATGAAAATATTGTTCTATGAAAATGAGCGAAAGTGTTCTTCTGAAACAAGTCACCGTGACCTGTTTGCTGTAACTGGGTGTTGTTGATAATTGAGCCTTGGCGATAACTGATCACTTGCCACGCCTGGTATGCTGAAATTCAGGAAACCAGTTTTAATCTCAAGTGAAATATGAAACAGTTTAAACATGTACTCGATATTGTTTTATATTATTTATTGATGATTGCAGGTGAAGTGTAGATTAAAAAGCACAAATAAGAAATAATGTCTACTGATATGGTATCGTATAGTTCATGACCTTTGTGATTGCCACCCTCATAGATCACAGCTGTGGTGTGTGGCTAATACAACCAAGTCATGGACACTGTTCGGCATCGTAGTACATCAAGGCATTACAAATGGCTCCAATAGATTTGACTTGCTGCCAATGTGTCACTTTCAAAGTAAGTCATGATGTTCATGATGCTGAATTATTGGGGCCATTATGACAATCTAAGATCCTTGGTTGGTTGGCAGAAAGTGCCTTCTGTTTTATTGTTCATCTACACTATTTCATGCTGATTGATTGACAGGTAGACACATACACAGATCATGGTTTGGAAACTCAATGATAAAGGAAATTCACAATTTTCCTGTAACATTACATGTGACAAGATAAGTTTGTCCTGTGTAACATTCAAGGGTCTGTGGTTTGATGTTCAGCTGTGCAGATAATCTGAACTGATAAAATTGTATTATGCACCTACCAAATTCACAACAGACACGATAGAGAAGGAACATGTCAGGAGTTGTCAATATACTTCTCTGATAAATGTTTCACTGTTACTGAAAGAGTGAGTGAGTGTGGTTTAAAGCCAATTGGACAGTTTTATTTCATGGTGTGTCAACTGAGGAAAGACAATAATGATTCAGGTTTCAGACATCCACCACCTTGAAGTAGTCGGCCTTGGTGCTGACAAACCTTGAGGGTGAGCATGGTGGGATACTGAGCGACAAGGTTGAACAGAGTGGATGGTAGATGAAGCAGCTCATTTTATAATAGAGTGGAAATTAGGGTTAGAACCTTATGGCTGGACACAGTAGTGGATGGAGGAAGATGAATGTGACTGAATGGTGTTGATTGTCCTATATTGGTAAATATTTGAAGTGCCTTGGACACATGTTATTGCAAATACAATAAATACATTAGATACATGTTAGGATACCTCAGGAACTACAGCATACAGAAAAGTAGTTTAGTTTAGGACTTCTTGATGTATACTAGTTGTAAAGGCACTTGATTGCTGTTAAACATGGTAATGTTCAGTTCAATGTGTTTTAGGTAACTAAACTTTTGCATTTTGACATTGTATGCCTTATTTGATATCTTTCTCATGAAGGATCATATATGTGTCAGTGAAAGAGTTAAATATGTGTATTGTCAGTGAAAAGAGTAGGAACCATGGTATATTAAGTGGGTAATTATCTGCAGTGGAACAAAATTTCATCTGCAATCTTTGCCATTGGTTGACAAGAACCTATGCCAAGAAAGGTCGACAAAATCCTGATACCAAGATTAGTAAGATCAATATGACTTACACTGTGTACTATGAATGAAGAATATATAATCCTGATTGGCATGTCATCTGCCATTTTATCAACACTGGCATGACTGATATTGATGTGTGGAATAGTGATGTGTCTGCTGGAGATTATGAGTGAGGCTTGATGGATGTTGACAGTTGACTTGATGATCATAGGTGGAGGAGAAGGGGTCAAGTCCATGGCTGGCCGTCCTTGGACAACACAACACACTCCTGATTTGTTTATGAGGTGGAAACTCACAGACAATAAGAACAAAATACACGTCTGGGTGTGAATAAACAGCTTGTTATTGGGCCTTGTTTGTAGTCAACTTCTGATTTGTTTTAGAGATGTTAAAAAATTAGAAAATTAAACACAAACATATTTTGAGAATCTTAAGAATCTCTGTTGAAAGGTGTTGAATAGCTGTATATGCTGAGATTCAACACAGAAATTCATGAAGTAAACTGCTTTTTTCAGAGTATTGTTAAACTGATAAGGAACTGCCATTGTTTGCTGGACTGGAAAGTGACCTTCCCTTTCTTGTTAGAACTTTGTCACCATCTTACTCACCATAAAATATTGTTTGGAGATATTGTTTCTTGTATATTAAGATTTGGTGATAATTTCTTAGCTCAAACACAAAGATTGAACGTTAGTCTGCAGGTGGTGATGTCAAGATGTTTATGGCACCTTTCCATCCCGAGTTGACTGAGGACTGTTTGAGAATGTAAGTTTCTCATGAGATTATGTTGGTGTTTTCAGCATTTCCAAGTGCCACTCCGAGGCTCAAGTGATGACCCGAAGGCCTCACGCACATTCCGATTTAACCTGGCACAACTTCAAGGCGACCCAAATGGTAGCTTTGAGTGCATCCAACAGCCTGACTCCAGGTACAGTGGCTGTTGCCTTCTTCTATCACTGATTACAGTGTGTGCTTGGTGCAGTGATGAATAATGGCACCACTACATAATAGTTAACATGATGTCAAGAACTCTGTAGTTGGTAGTATACTCAAAACCGAAAGTCACCAGAAATATACTCAAAATCAAATATCACAGTGATCATTAATTATCTGAAAATGAAAATGATTCTTGATATAGACTGGGGGCGGTGGGGTAGCCTAATGGTTAAAGCGTTGACTCGTCACGCCGAAGACCCGGTTTCGAATCCCCACATGGGCACAATGTGTGAAGCCCATTTCTGGTGTCCCCCGCCATGATGTTGCTGGAATATTGCTAAAAGCGGCGTAAAACCAAACTCAGTCAGTCAGTCAGTGATATAGACTGACTGACCTCAGTTTATAGATTGATCAGTCAAAGATATGTTGTGCGTAGTAAAGCTTCTTGTGAGGACATAGAATTAGATGCAACTCTCAGACTTAGTGGGTGTGGTCAACACAAATGTTACGAGTGAGTTTCCTTCTTGTCTAAAGAACAGAACTTCAATTATAATTGAAATTTTCAACATTTTAACATGGTTAATTTTATTTTGATTTGATTTTTTTTTAAATCAAATCTTTAGAAAGCCTGCAGATTTGATCTTTCAATTTTACATCTTTACTCTTTGAAAGGACATGTAAAGATGGTGATTTGGTGATACTTAAAACTTTAAATCAAGTTTCATTAATGAAAACACCAAAGTAGCCATGGTAACACATAATTTTGTGAGTATTTGTGGACCATGTTACAGTTTTATGTCTTGTATTTAAAGTTGTGTTAAAATAGATGGGATTTATATAGATAACTGTTATCTTGTGATGGAGGAAGAAAGTACCAGGGTACACATTCTTTTCCATCATTATGCTTGAGCATTTCTTTCTTGTCATGCAGTTGGCTTTCCTTTGTGAGAATCCTTAGTGACATTTTTCTCTAGCTTTTGTGCTACTCTTTCCCTTGTAGATATGGTCACACACTTGAAAGTTTGGGTGTCATGCAACAGAAAATCAATGTCCTCGCAACTGATGATGTATACAAGTCCACACGAGAACGTATGACACTTGCTGAAGAAGAAAGCAAGAAAGTCTGGTATGTAACTCCTGAACATTTGTGCAAACCAGCAGGTATATGTAGCTCCATCTACTGGGTGAACTCCTGGACTGTGGGAACACTGGAATACTCTCATAGATGCTTTTTAACAGCTTTGCTATGTGTGCATGGTATATTTGGTTGACATCCGTGCAGTTGCGAGCTCGAGATATGTGTTAGTTAAGGTGGAGGTAACTTATGTAAGTCAGATTGTTGAAGTCGAGTTATGGATAATGGACGATTGATGCAAGAAAGTGTAGGGAAATATTAATTACTATGATAATATGTATCATCAAGATGAATTACCAATGGCTGCTACTTTTCTGATACATGTGTTACATAACCTGGATCTCTGCAAAGTCAGTTTGAAAGGTGTATCATATTGAATAAACATTGACAATATGATTGTAAGGTAACAATTAAAACAAGGATATAACTTTATATGCATAATGTTTGATAAATGAATCTCATATGAATGCTATATGCATGTGATAGCTAAATATTTAGTCCCAATATTTGACTGTGTCACGACTGATAAGTTAATATATACAGTGGAAGCCTTCTAAACCGGCATTCGTTGGGACCGGCAGAAAATGCTGGTATAGTGGGCGTGCCGGTTTAGAGAACTTTTCCTCTTTTTTTATCTTACCATGATAAGCGACTGACAAATTGTGACACAACAATTAATTTATAATACAAGTGACGCGTGTCACTCACCAATTTACCTCACCTACATAGGCCTAATCCATACTCCTGGTAACATCAGTGAGCTTAATGTTAATACACGCTCAGCCAATCAACAAGAGAGCTGAGAGGTCGGATGCCGGTTTAGAGAGTGTTAATTACCGTACAAACAGTCAATTACGCGGTCTTTGTAGTGCCGTAGTACGGAATAGACTGACGCCGGATTAGAGGGCGTGTAAATGATGATAAATTAACTAGCTTCTGTCGGGACCAAATTCTTGTGCTGATATTGAGAGCATGCCAGATTGGAAGGCTTCCGGTTTTGAGAGCTTCCACTGTAGATGTTTGTGTTCACCTGGCCTGGCATGGGCATTTAGTACTAACAGTAATTAGCTATTCAGAATAATCATTTAAAGCACATTTAGGACAACTGACTTTGATTAAGTCTTAACAGTAGGGTAGCTTACAATCAGTTTGAAATAGTGAATGTCAAGTGGCGTATTTCTGTCTACTGAGCAGGTAACTGGGTGTATTTATGCATGAGATGCTTATAATGCATGAGATGAGGAAGTTTGTGTTCAGACATTTTGTTCTGCATGAAGCACTATAATACCAAGGACATATTGTGTCAGTTTTATTTATCTGATTGTTCTCTTTCATAACTTTTTTGTAACTATAGTTGGCTTGGAAAAAGAGCTTTTCCACAGTGGGAAACAAATTAGTTATGCAAAAGGTCCCTTGAGTACGGTTTCACCTTTCAGCATGTCAGTATTAATGCTTGGTTCAGTGAAATGCATGCTTGTTTTATGTTCAAATTCTGCTTTTAACTAAGGCAGTGCTGTTTGCATTCAATCTTCACCATCCATAACTGGGCATAATTGCTTGTAGAGAATTTAAAATCTATTAAATGTGTTTTATTAAAAACAAATATATGAGTAATACTGCCTTCTTAAATTGCACATTATTGTCTTGGAAGTCTTCATTTATTACACTCACAAATGTTGACTTCAAAGAAAAGATCTGAAAACATAGTCCCCAACAATTTCTATTTTTGAATTATGTGTGTGTCTGTTACATCCTATCTATATATTCCATGTTTATTTCGGTACCTTGTTTGCTCCCGGCTACAGATGCATGGAAATAGTGATAATTGGATGTTAGATATAAAAAGATAAAAATGAAGAGAAATAGCGCAGAATTAATCACCAGTGTGAAGGAAGCCTAACTATTGATGTACAGATACTTCGAGAATATCAGGTTGTATTTCCTAGTTTTATCTCTCGCTCTTGATATGAGGCCCAAATAGGTGCCCAGTTTCTTTGGCTCCAGGTTACCCACCCCCACATTTTATTGTCGTACAATCAAGTCACATTGTTTGTGGCCAAGAAAAGCCATCCCCTTGATGTTATAAAAGCGGAAATCTCGTGAGGGGGCTAAATATAGCTATTGATTTTCTGATTGAAAGTGTTTTGTGTGAAACACTTCTGTGTGGCTGGAACCCCAAGGCTATTGTTGTTCATTGCCCTATCAAGTCATTTGTGCAATGCATATGTTGTATGAATCCTGCAGGGTTAATCAGTTTTCAACAGGTTTCACCTTGTCCCAGTTTGGTGACTATTGCAGTACTGGCAATTGGCTGTTATTTGTGGTCCTACTGGTACACAGCTGGAAGTGTGCTGTACAGTACTGGTACAAATGTACATACTACAGTCCACAATGACAGCAAACCCATTCTCATTGATATCAAATTTGAAAAAAAATTAATTCATGAATGGTATCATAAAGAACTACTCTGATATTATTATAGCAGCTTTTGATTTTTTATGATTTTCATTCATGGCTGACCGAGTTTGATTTCACTTTAAACAGTATGTAAATACACAAATGGCATTTGAATAGTGAACAAAGTTAATTGTGCTTTCCTTTTATGTGGAACTGTTTCATGCTAGGCTATTTTCAGTGCATTGATTTTTGTGAACTGTCATTTCATTGAGGCAATGTAGGCAGTCTGAAGCAATGTTGCCTTTATGGTTTGATGAGGGCTATGATATATACAGTGTGATTATTGTAATTGTTTCACAAACAAAGCTATCAGTTTAGCTGCTTTTTCTTCCAACAGTGGAACTCTAAATTTAGACACTTGATTGATCAGGGGAGAAAATGAGCTGAAGAACTAAAACAACGCTCCATCCTAGCTTCTATTCCTGGCGTGTCTTGAGTGGTGTCTTCATGGTAGTGATAGGCTGCTGAAATGGTACCTGTCAGCTAAAAATGGCATTGATTGAAATTATACTGTAATAAGGATACATTAAACCAACAATTGACATGTATTACGTAGCCAGTGAGATAAACTTGGCTTTGCTGTTGTCACAAATATTATCTGCTGAGTAGTATTGAGGATACGCCCTCCATGACAAATACTTCACAGATAGCAGTAGCAACAACTTACATCAGATAACATGTAAAATGGAATGTCGGGGTTTAATATGTTGACAAAAATTGAAACTTTTCATTCTATGTTGTATGCAACTATCCTTCAGCTGGAACTCTGTTTATTCTTGTATGTTTAGCTGACAGTGGTCCATATTACTGTACTGAACTCAACTGAAAATGACAGTTGGAACGATGTTCAGGCTAGTAGGCTTGAATGTTCTTGGCACAGTTACAACAGCAGTTACACTTGCTTTGCCTAATAATGTAGAATCCTGAAACTGATAATCACTGATATGTTGCAAATTTAATTCCTCCAAAGAATTAATAACACTTATACGTGTAATTGGTGGGCTGTGTACAACGTATTAAAAAGTCATCGTCTGGGGATGTATTTTTCACTGTATCGTATCTCCAACCACATGATTCTGATGCATAATGCTGTAGATTTTCATGGCTCAGTCACAGGATGACCACACATTTCCTGAGTTCCTTACTTATTTATCATATATTTAGCTGTTTCAAAACATGATCTTTTAACTATAGAAGGAAGATATTGATAGCTGTGAAGTGATGCAGTTTCACACATTTTACCATCGTAAAATATATAGACAGAAAGGTTTATTAGCTTCTGTGTCATCTAGAATGTGTTAAACTTGATGCTGAAACAAGGAGAGTGTAGTGTTGATGAGTTTGTTTTTATTTCAGTACAAAAGAAATCAAACCCAGCGGCCGATACATCAGCAAGAAAGTGAAGAAAGTGATAACGAACGGTCATAACAAGCACTTACCGCCCACCAATAAAAACAATATTGCAATCAGCAAACCCCAACCCCCACCTCACATCCCCAAAAGCTCAACAAACTTCTCCAATGTGTCAAATCCTGGTCAGTCAAGACTCTCGGGGACTTCTCATCTCCCTAACGGTGGAACAAACCACTCCCCCAACAGGGTCACAGCCAGTCAGCATTCACCTCACAGAAGTACTGGGTCCAACCATTCTCCTGTGAGGGGTAGTGGGACGACCAATGTGTCTTCAATGTCTACCAAACCATCATCTCATGTGCCGCCGTCAAGCGGAGGGGGATCGAAACCTAACTCTGCAATCATGAACATGCCATATAGGTCAGTGCACCCACCCTGCACAGCTCAAATGTGGACACTTCTAGTGTACTTATGTCTGTGATTATGTTGTCTATTTCTATTTCAGAATATTGGTTCCTGATGTTTTAGGAATTCAAATAAGCCTTCAGGATGTTTGCTGGTCTGTAGTAAGAGAGTGATTTTCCTTAAATTTGTAGTTTTAAACTAAATGATGATCTGACTGCCCAGAAAAGTGCATTCTAGTACACCAAACAGACTTTATGACAACTGCAACATAGCCCTACCATACTCTCTAGACATATGCTGAAATTACTCACCAACTGATTTGCATTAAAGTATTGTTATTAATACTTAACGCTTTAACCATTAGGCTACCCCACCGCCATAATTTTTATTTTTATTTTAACATGTCAAACAGGCATGTGTGAAAGGTTCATCAATAAGAAATCATAATTAATTCTATGTTCTTATGCAAATGTTGGAAGAGTTTTCCTGCATGTCTGTTAATATCTAGCATTCCCTGACATGCCATCAAGGGCAGGTTTTTAAGACTGCTTTTACAACGCAAGGAAGTTTTTGCCGTTATTGTCTGTTAGTCTCACAGAGATATGCTGGTTTTGCTTCCTGCTGATGGCCAGGTGATGGTATTGTTTTCAGTGTTTGTGATGTAGCCCCTCCATTGTTCATGACATCACAGTTGGTATTGTGTGACATCATTCCAACAATAGACTCGCTGTCAGGGTTCAGGACTTTAATTCACTCAGGACAGGCGATCCATAATTCTTTATTGTTTGTAGGTTAGATTGTGCAACCAGTTGTAATACATGGATGAATTCAGTTTTGTTTGATGTATAACCCCTTACCTTTGGTGATTCTACTTCCTGTCAAGGATCTTGGCGGCACTCATTCATTAGGGTGATAGATGGACCTGAAACGTGTTTCGAAACCAGACCAATACCCACCAGTTCAGTTTGACCACTGACTACAAGACCATACCAGCAGACCTTAACAAAAGCAGATCTTTTTGTCAGGTTGACCCGAATTGGTAAAATACTGCAACAAGATGTTCTGAAAGCTGTTACTAGTCTGTTAGTCAAAGACAGTAACAATCTTGACTGGGCTGTTGACTTACTTGATATTTTACACCACCAATATTTCGAATTAAGTTGACTAAATTGATTTGACCAATGGTGTTGGCTTTGTATGAATGGCTTTATTGTGTCTAAAGATGTGCAGGAAACACAGATGAAGTGAGGGAAAACTCTAGTAGCAGGTATAAGATGTAAAGCTCACGGAGTAGTTCTTGTTTCAATACTTGTGCATGCTTATGGACAATGTGTGCATATGTGACTGATGGAACAAGTACCACTTGACATGCTATTGCGGTTTCCTTGGAGTGGAGTTTTTATATTTTGTCATGTCGTGTTTCAGAGAAAGAATCATCCATTTGTTAGCAGTGCGGCCTTTCAAGAAGCCTGAGCTGATACTGAGACTAAAGAAGGGTGTGTATTGAATATTTTGCAGGGGTAGAATCTCAGTACTAGCCCTTGGAATGATACAGGGTTCTGTTTTACACAACCACACTCACCCACACTTGACACTAAATATAGTCTTCGTTCTTGTGTTTCAAAAGATTTTGTTGGAGACTTATTTATGATGTTGCTCCCAGAGAACCATACTCATCTTGCCCAAGTAGATTTTTGAAACATGGAAGAGGATCCTGTTCATTCCGTCTCTGCTTCTAAGACAGGATTCCTCTTGAGTATGTTGAGGACATTTCCACCTTGTCAGACTGATGGCAGGGCCTGTTCGAACCGAGAACAACAGCATTCAAATCAGTTTCCAGTCGATGTTTGAATTTTACTACTGTTTGCAATGCTCATTCAGTCATTGCTATGTAGAATGTGTCTGATTCTCTAAGGATTATACACAGCTAATTGTTTTATACGAGTCATTAAAGAAAACTAAGAGATAGTAGATGAAAGATGCCACATCACTGGGACTGGTTACTTGCTGTGGTTTAGAAAGAACATTGGAGGAAAAGCAGGTTGCACTATAGTGATGCAGCTTCTTTCCAGATATCATAGGGCAAGGGCTTGAATGTTGCAATGATCAGTATAAACTCTAGTTGATGGATTGTAGGCTCTAAGATAGGAAGGTCAGTGGTTAGTGGTAGATCACAGCACATAGATCCAAGTTATGTTTCAGACAAGCTATTTTCCACATTTCGCCCATCAACAGTGCTGTATGATGTGACTGATGTGTATGTTTGTGTGTTGATCAGATGGTATCCGGGAAAAGGACAAGAACTCTCTAGGCAGCGTCCTGCAGCAGGTGGCAGTACTTAACAAGAGCAATAGCTACACACTCGCAAACCACGCCTGGATCGACGTGCGCACAGATTGGCCATTCTACACAGAGGCGGATCGCCAAATTGTGAAGAGGTAGGTTACAGGTGGAAGACACAAAGACAGGGAGCTTCAGGGTATTTTGCATGGAATGAGGGCTCTGATGGTCACTACATGCAAGTAGGTGGCTCAAGATATATGTATGTGTGGTATTGATACTTAGTTTCTGACCACACACAGCTGCTGGGTTTGAAGACTGAAACCATCCTGTGGACTGATACCTTCTTCACTGGGCAAATCAAAGTGTTTAGTTTAATGACCACTGAATTTCAGAATGCAACTACATGTATGTAGAGTGAATCCTCATAAAGATAAGGTGACCTCTCCTACAACCAAAGGTTTCTTATCTCAGAAATCTCCAGAACCTGCAAGCTGAGTCCCGAAGTGCGTCCACCTCCCCTGCAGTCTCACCTAGCAACCAGGCTCCTGAAAGCCCAAGCAACTCTCAGGTTGGTGCTGTTGTTGTGTGGCTTGGGTTTGAGATGAGTCATAGATGTTTGGATTGTGAGATTCTAATGATAGGCTTATACAGCGGCTGAAAACTAAGTGAAACATACTTCATGAATCAAGTGAAAAAAATATATCATGCAACATGACTTTTTAAAATTATTTATAAGGAGCAGCACAGAGATGGATACCAGAGCCACCACTGACTGAAGTAGTATGATCCGTTAATTCATTCATGAATGAAAGGCAAATTAAAATAATTCCTTAGCCTGAAAACTGAGTATGCCATAACGTTTTTGGTGCATTTCTGTGTATGTTATCGATGGTAGAATGAAATTTCTGTGTAATATTTCAGAAACGTGCTAGTGAAGATGTGATGGAAGGCCCCCAGCCAAACAAGAAGCAGAGAATATCCCACCATGAGAAAAGGAAAGAATCCTCTCCCGTCAATGGTCTCAAGTCCAGTAACAGCCACCATCATGCACCTCACGACAAACGCAAGTCCTCCTCCCTGTCCCCTGATGCTAACAGTGAGAACAAGGAGCAGCACATAGATGGTAGGGCTTGAGTAGGGTTAGCTGGATTAGGGGGCTATAGAGGGTGCCATATAGAGGGTAGGGCTTGAGTAGGGTTAGCTGGATTAGGGAACTATAGAGGGGTGTCATATAGAGGGTTGGGCTTGAGTAGGGTTAGCTGGATTAGGGAACTATAGAGGGGCGTCATATAGAGGGTTGGGCTTGAGTAGTGTTAGCTGGATTAGGGAGCTATAGAGGGGTGTCATAGAGGGTAGGGCTTGAGTAGGGTTAGCTGGATTAGGGGGCTGTAGAGGGGTGTCATATAGAGGTGTCATATAGAGGTAGGGCTTGAGTAGGGTAAGCTGGATTAGGGAGCTATAGGAGGGGTGTCATAGAGGAGTAGGGCTTGAGTAGGGTTAAAGCTGGATTAGGGAGCTATAGAGGGGTGTCATAGAGGGTAGGGCTTGAGTAGGGTTAGCTGGATTAGGGGCTATAGAGGGGTCATATAGAGGATAGCGCTAGAGTAGGATTAGCTGGATTAGGGGCTGTAGAGGGTGTCATAGAGGGTGGGGCTTGAGTAGGGTTAGCTGGATTAGGGGGGCTTGAAGTATAGAGCTGGATTGTCATATAGAGGATATAGCTAGAGTAGGATTAGCTGGATTAGGGGGCTGTAGAGGGGTGTCATAGAGGATAGGGCTTGAGTAGGGTTAGCTGGATTAGGGGGGGGCTATAGAGGGGGTCATATAGAGGATAAGGAGGGTGTAGCTAGAGTAGGATTAGCTGGATTGGGGGCTGTAGAGGGGTGTCATAGAGGATAGGGCTGAGTAGGGTTAGCTGGATTAGGGGCTATAGAGGGGGTCATATAGAGGATAAGCTAGAGTAGGATTAGCTGGATTGGGGGCTGTAGAGGGGTGTCATATAGGATATAGGGCTTGAGTAGGGGTTAGCTGGATTAGGGGGCTATAGAGGGGGTCATATAGAGGATGGGCTTGAGTAGGATTAGCTGGTTGTAGAGGGGTGTCATATAGAGGGTGGCTGTAGAGAGGGCAGCTTGAGTAGGGTTAGCTGGATTATAAGCATTAAGGGGGGCTGTAGAGGGGTGTCATATAGAGGATAGGGCTTAAGCAGGGTTAGCTGGATTGGGGGCTGTAGAGGGGTGTCATAGAGGGTTGGGCTTGTGTAGGGTTAGGTGTATTAGGGGGCTATAGAGGGGCATCATATAGAGGGTTGGGCTTGAGTAGTGTTAGCTGGATTAGGGGGCTGTACAGGGTGTCGTATAGAGGGTAGGGCTTGAGTAGGGTTAGCTGGATTAGGGGGCTGTAGAGGGGTGTCATATAGAGAGGCATCATATAGAGGGGTGTCATATAGAGGGGTGTCATATAGAAGGTAGGGCTTGAGTAGGGTTAGCTGGATTAGGGGGCTATAGAGGGGTGTCATATAGAAGAGTAGGGCTTAGTAGGGTTAGCTGGATTAGAGGGGGCTGTAGAGGGGTGCCATATAGAGGATAGCTGGATTAGGGGGCTATGAGTAGGATAAGCAGTATAGAGGGGTGTCATATAGAGGTTATCTTGATTAGGGGGCTGTAGAGGGCATATAGGCAGTAGGGTTGGCTGGATTAGGGTGGCTGCAGAGGGGTGTCATATAGCAGTAGGGGTGTCATAGAGGGTAGAGGGGAGCTGGATTAGGGTTGAAAGCTGGATTAGGCGTCATATAGAGGGGTGTCATATAGAGGGTGTCATATATAGGGTAGGAGCTTGAGTAGGGTTAGCTGGATTAGGGGGCTGTAGAGGGGGGCTTCATATAGAGGGTTGGAGCTTGAGTAGGAGTTAGCTGGATTAGGGGGATTAGAGGGGCTCATATAGAGGGGCATCATATAGAGGTGCCATAGAGAGGTTGGGCTTGAGTAGGGTTAGCTGGATTAGGGGGCTGTAGATGAGTGTTGGGCTTAGTAGAGGTTAGCTGGATTAGGGGCTGTAGAGGGGCATCATAGAGGGTTGGGCTTGAGTAGGGTTATGTAGATGGTAGGGGGCTGTAGTTAGCTGGTAGGGGCTGTAGAGGGTCATATAGAGGGTTGGGCTTTGAGTAGGGTTATCTGGATTAGGGGGCTGTAGAGGGCATCATATAGGAGGCCGGAGAGGGTTGGGCTTGAGCAGGGTTAGCTGGATTAGGGGGCTATAGAGGGTATCATATAGCGGATAGGGCTTGAGCAGGGTTAGCTGGATTAGGGAGCTATAGAGGGGGGTCATATAGGGTAGGGCTTGAGTAGGGTTAGCTGGATTAGGGAACTATAGAGGGGTGTCATATAGAGGGTAGGGCTTGAGTAGGGTTAGCTGGATTAGGGAACTATAGACGGGTGTCATAGAGGGTAGGGCTTGAGTAGGGTTAGCTGGATTAGGGAACTATAGACGGGTGTCATAGAGGGTAGGGCTTGAGTAGGGTAAACTGGATTAGGGAACTATAGAGGGGTGTCATAGAGGGTAGGGCTTGAGTAGGGTTAGCTGGATTAGGGAACTATAGAGGGGTGTCATAGAGGGTAGGGCTTGAGTAGGATTAGCTGGATTAGGGAGCTATAGAGGGGTGTCATAGAGGGCAGGGCTTGAGTAGGGTTATCTTGATTAGGGGGCTGTAGAGGGTGCCATATAGAGGATAGGGCTTGAACAGGGTCAGTTAGACTATGGGGCTGTATGGGGATGTCATATAGAGGGTTGGTCTTGAACAGGGTTAGCTGGATTAGGGGCTGTTTTGAGGGGTGTCGTATGAAGGGTAGGGATTGAACAGGACTAGCTGGATTAGGTTACTGTTGAGGGTTAGCTTTAGTTGTGGTTGTTGAACAAGTATCAAATATGTGGCAGGGCTGCATCCTGGATATCTGGAAGGGGTTGTAGGTCGTATTTATGTATAAATGTTACATTTCTAAACATAAATCTCTGTTTCTTATGCTACTACATTGAATGTAGGAGTTTTGTATTAATAATGTACAGTTTTATTTGAATGTGAAGGATGGGTCTGTAGCCATGGTAACTGTAGTCATGGTAATAGTAGCATAACATGGCAGGTGTTGCATTTATGAATATGTGCAGACTGATGTCAAATTTTTGATCGTCTCCCAATGGTTCCCCTTTTATTTAGTATACAGTATATATATATATATATATATGTTCCACTGAAGCTGTTCGTATTATGGACTGTCTGAAAACTGTCAAAAGTGTTTATTTTCTTCAGACAGGTATTGTTGAACAGCTAAAAATCACATGCCACATTTTGTTTTGATTGAAGCATAAAGCAAATGGCATGTTATAATGCAAATAGGTACAACTGAAGGCTTTGTTTATCCCATGCTAAGCCATAATTGATTTTAAGCATCCAAACAATTATCCCTGCCCAGATAACAAAGACTACAAAAATGAGATGATAAAAACAGTTCTAAGGACATGAAAGACCATCTGTAGGATTGATTGTGCTTCTTTTCAGCTGGTTCTTGGCGCAGGGTAGCTTGTGAATTTATTGTGCAAGTCAAGTTGACATGGAGAAGGTGACTTGTGTGTCTGGATAGGGCAGATGAGCCCTGTTTCCTTGTCATTGACTTTGATTGTGTCATTCTGTATTGTTTACCAAGCTGTGCACATTTGGCAGACATTGTTGACACAGGCTTTGGATGGGACCAGGAGACAAATACATTGTGTAATTATTGTCATTGCCCTGCTCATGCTGTCTCGTCTTGTCTTCAGATAACGGAAACACAGTGTCCTCCAATTCCAGCAGCTGTGCTGATTACTTAAAGTAAGTGAAGGGGTGCCTTGCATTCTGTCGGGGTTGGTCGCCATAGTAGAGGGAGGGAGTCATTGAACAGGCATTATTATGACTGAAGGCAGACATTTAGGCTTGCTGTGTGTGTGCATACAAGAAGATGTGTAAATTGTTTTCCTTTGTTTCCTTCGCAAATATTTAACTACAATGCACTGTTAATGAGAAAACAGCTTTTGTAATTGTGAAATGACGTTCATGTGATTTTGTACAAAATGTTCTATTTTTTCTACTGGCCATATAATATCATCAAAACTTGAAAATCACTGATCATTTCAAAACATGCAAGGAATTTCATTTATTAGGACATCATAAATTCCCACTGGTAATGAAGAATTTATAAAACATTAGGCTGCAAAATAGCACTGAAAATGTATCTTGTGAAATGTATAGCCCATTCAAGAAATATCCAGGGTCACTGAGATATAGAAATATGTTGTGAAAAGCTGTGTAATGTAGTCAAAAGCTGCTTTATGTCCCAGTTTCATGAAACACTATTGCAATTACTGAAGCTTTTTTCTGTTTTGTTCCTGTGGCTTTACACATGCTGTTGACTTTACAGGACTTACACAATGATCAAGAACCAGGAACAGAGACAGAAGTACAAGTGTGATTTCAACTCCGCGAGTATGAGGAGTACAGGAAGCTGTTTGGTCATCTGGACACCATTGCCAAGAAGTTTGGGGAATTAGAGATAAAGATTCGCAAGACAAAGGAAGGATCAGAGGCCTTTGAGGTAGGGCCAAGCGTAGATTGATAACAGTATGAAGGAAAACAAATCACTTTGGGTAGAGGTGTTCCTATGACTGAATGTTGGATATGATTGCCCATGCTGTGGCTCTTTTATCATATTTGCTTGACATATTGCAGTGCAATGTTTGTTTTGTTAGTCAGTGATGAAATCCACTCATCACAGCTCATGGTCAAGCACCAACACAACTAGCCCCGATTAGATATGTTCTTTTCAACTATTTTTCTAAATCAGCTTGAAAATTAATCCTTTCTGTGATGAAGATTTTGTTTGACAAGTGAGGACATATTCTAGTAACCTTTTAACACTGACCTCAGTATTTTTCAACGGGGAGAGTTCTATGGATATACAACTTCTTTAATATAATATGAGCGACATTTCGGTGTAGCTACTCACACCGTTATCAAGCAAATCATCATTTGCTTGATAACGGTGTTAGTAACATCATTTGCTTGATAACGGTGTTAGTAGTATCATTTGCTTGATGTTGGTGCTCATATTATATTAAAGTTATATATCCATAGAACTCTCCTCGTTATTCATCACACCAACTTCTAAATGCCACAAGTTCTCAGTATTTTTTGTTTTATGATTATATGTCCAAAATTCCAAAGATCCAAAGTTAGGTCCTTATGCATAAGTCAACAATAATAACTACCCAGACAGCTTTAAATATGAACATAAACTAGTACACAATATGAAATTAGTGACATCAGTCAGTGCACTGATGCATGACAAACATTTTTTGTTCTAATATCAGCCACTTTCGTTTGCAATGCATTTATGTGATAATAATCCCCCATGAGATTATTGTTCTATGAAATGCTGTCTGATTCCCAACACTGGTTTGGATGCTGATCTGTAATCGTCATCTGTTTCAGTCCTTGAAGAACAGGATATTAGAAGAATACCAAGCCCAGAAAAGTGATCCGAAATTCATTGAACAAAAAAAGCGCTATGACTACCTACACAAGAAACTGGCACATATCAAAAAGTTGGTAATGCATTTTGATCAGTGTTCCCTGTCCATCTGCTCATAGCAGCAGGCCAGAACATGCTTACAAGCTGTGGTTGTGAGATCTACTGGAGTTACACAGTGAACCTCGACTATGGATTCTTCACAGATTGCTTGGATCTTACCATGGGTAAACGGATATATTCCATGGGGTAATGAGTCTCGCTGACTGCTGGATGGATATGGATGCATGGTCTGTTGTTTGGCCAGTATGCCAACTTGCTGTCCAAGTTGAAGGATGTTTCTGGATCTACTGAATGTTGCAAGAGTGTATCAAGAGTCCCGGGTGTGGCTCTTCCTGCTAGTCACTGGTGGATATGTGGACATGGTTATGTTTCTGAAGGAATGTGAATTTGGATGTTTGCGGGTTTGTCAGACAAGCATCTACCAGGCTGATGAACTGTCTGCTGCCTTTTTGGTTACGATAAAAATGGCCTGTTTTTTTGTTGGCCAGTTTGTTCTACACACCCAGTTCAACATGCTCCTGTTGGTGAAGCATGAATCTTCCTTATCTACACAGCACCCCCTGTATAAATGTTCCTGTGTCTGTCTGTCTGTACGTCCATCCAGTGCCTTGTAATGCTCCCGCACATGCATGTAATGCAGGTGCAGACCGAGCTGATGTGTGTGCATGGCCAGCTGAAGGTCACTGAAAGAGTCACCAAGCCTCTCGCTCCATTAATGGCACAGGTCCACTTTGCCATAATAGTCTGCTATTGCTGATATGTGCTGGAGGCTGCTGGCTTCACAAATTGGCCAAATCACAGTATTTGTGAAACTTTCTCATTTGTTTTAATAACTTATTTAATTTCAAAGAGTTACTAGTTTATTTATGATCTTGTGTTAACTTATTATCAGTTTGGCATTCTCATGGTTTATTTTGAGAACGCAAATACATCTTTTTACATATTTATCTTTTGAATTGACTCTGTCTTACAGCTCTGGGACATGGCACGTCACATACAATGTTTAGATGAAACAGCTGAATCAAAGGAATATAGTTCATAAAAAGAGTGCAATGTGCTTTGTATTCATCTTATTAGAACATTAAGCTAGTTTAAAATCTCAAAGTACCAGTTTTCAATCTATGCTACTGAAAAGAATTTATGGACTACTCGTCTCTACTTCAATCTGTCATGCAATTGTAGTGATGCCCAAAAATCGAGTGGTCCCTAACTATCTAAGGGAATATATATGTTTAAAGTTATCACAAAATGGCTTGATATTAAATTATACTACTTGAAAGAAGTTAAAAAGTGCCAAATTTTGTACATGTGACTGTAAATCGTCTGTCATCACATGGCAAATTAAGTTGTTCTTTAACTTTATTTTCCAGTACTATTTGACTGATCAAAACCAGACAGAACCTGTTAAAGAACAAAATCAGATCTTCTTTTCTTCAACTTGTACATGACACACCTTAGACAAATTATTTATTGGTATTTATGATCCATTATTTAAGTGAGCACTCGTACACCCTTGTTGTACATTAAGTTTTGTATGTAAAAATGTTAATTTGAGCATTGACCTTGGTGCAGATATTCATTTAATGAAGATAGATGGTAAAGCCAGTGTATGATCCAGGAAAGGAGTTGCCTTGACGACATGGATGATAGTTCACCTGTCGTTAGTACCGTTGAACAAATATATCAGTTGTATCTGTTGTGTTTTCAGAATATAGGGAGATATTTTATAGCTATGTTAATATGATGCCAGAGAGATACATCATATATGCATATGAGACTATTTTTGATGGAGAGATATCACAAAACATAACCACTGTGTACAGAAGTGATGCTTTGGCTACTATACCAAGCGTTATGGGGGCAACCTTTACATGTAGAAGGTGCTCCTTACATGTGTAGAGTTGTGTGTTCATTATCTTTTGAAAACTATCTACAGAAATAGGCTGTGTAAGTCAAGTTTCTTTCATTTTGCTTCTGTACTTCCAAACTTTCAGCTGCCCTCAAGTATGACCAGGTATTCATTTAGCATTGGTTTATCAGGTGAGTGTGAAGACTGGTCCTTTGGCTTGTGGCTTGCAGGAGAGTCCGAGGGTTAGTTGTATGAAACCAGTTGCTGCATTATGCTCATTTACTTTGAATTTGCAAAGAATGTGTAGAATTTCCAAACATATACATACTTATGTGCTCAAGACGTGGAAGGGACAGATTATATATTTTGTGATTTGGTGTATCAGTGGTCTCCGTGCAGTCATCAGCATGTCCGAACAGACCTGATAACCGGTACTTTGGGGAGGGATGCCCCAGTCTTGATTAATGACATCTTTTTGTTAAAGTTGGGGTAGGGATCCTCCAACCCAAATTCTGTCAAATGAATATTTTTGAGAATTTTTCAATCAACTTTTATGACTGCTGGCCCAAACCATTTTTGTTCTAGAATAGAAAATACAACTTTAGAATCTTGAAACACAGTAACAAGGTGGCTTTGCAAACAAAACTCGCTATGTTGCAGAAGGATTTGTGTAACAATGTGGTGTTGACAGGTCTAGTCTTCTCTAGCAAAAATGTATGTTTAATACTCTTTACCCCGCTGAACTACACTATATTGGTAAAATCTGTAAACCAAATGAACAAAAACCCCAAACCTCTTCATCATACCTGGCAGTTATCAGGGTGAGTAGACAAACATGACAACAATACAGTCGTAGTTTGCCATGCCCCTGTTTCCAATATGTCTAGGGGTGAAGTTCCAACATTGCCCTGGTTCTCTGTATCCTGTCAGTCCATCAATGGCCACTACATCCATCAGCTGTGACCCAAGTGTCCAGGGATGGGACCATGCAAGGAATTGAGTCTGATATGCAGTGTTTGATGGAATGAGTCTTTTCATGAAATAGGAAACATAATTCATCAAATAGGAAACGACATGAATTTATGAAAGATTACAGTAAGAACTAGTGATTCATGTAACTATTTGGACACAAGAAGTACGTGCCAAACCTGAAGAATGAATTCTGCCCATTTTGTGTTGTAGGTATAGCAATATATATGTGTTTATGATCCATCTGAGAGATGGGGTATGAGTGGTCTTTGATGGAATGTTATTAGTCCCAAACTGTTGTTGGCTGCTGGGTTTTGGATGTTCAACTGTACTTCATACAGATGTTTTTGTAAGCATGGTAAGGTGTGCATCTGTCTACAGAGAGAACTGAGGTGACTGTCGTGATGATGTTCTATGTCTGCAGGATAAGCCCTTTAACCGAGGTAATACTGACATTTCTTCGTCAGAAACCATAATTAGATGAGAACTTTCATCTTCTGCCATGTTTTGATCAATAAGATTCAAGTATTTTCCAATCAGAAGCTGTGGGCTACTCCCTACAGTTCTGTACAATTTCCTGCTTAGTCTAGTTCTTTCTGGTCACTGATGTTTCTGTATGAATCTGAGAGACTGACCAGGTCAGTCAGTTTTGTAACCGCTGGAGTGTGGCAGGACACTAATGTGAAGCCTCAAATGGTCCATATTTTCTGGGTAGCATTATTTTGAGATGTGATGTTTGTGATGTAGTATGTTGCATAATGCTAGCTAGCTGACACGGGAGAACAGAATGTGTCCAAAATGTCTCCACCATCTGTAAATCACTTGATCTGTAGATAACTGGCTGAAAGCCTGAATGTGAAGAGTAGATTTGACATGTGACCTAAATAATGACATGATAAGCAGTAAATGTGCACAACACAACTTAACGTTAATGGCAGAAAGTGTTTCCATAAGGGAAAGTCAGGCACTAATATTACAGTTTTATGTCAAGTTTGAAGAATAGCTTCATAAATCTATCTTTTTAATACCTTGTTGCTGTTGCATTGTATGAGATTGGCAGATATTTTCAAAAATATACCACATTTCTGGTGTCCCCTGCCGTGATATTGCTGCCATATTGCTAAAAGCGGCGTAAAACCCAACTCACTCACTCACTCACTCAAAAATATACCAGGAAGTCTACTATCAGAGTCTTATGTTGATATATATTGGTGTCAAGCTTTGTAACTATGGAAACAACATTAATTGTATACACTCCAGGAAACTGTTGTCTCGCCACTTTCCCGAAAGTATTACTCATTTTGTCTCCTGAATACAAGAGTTACCCTTTCTCATTTGTGTGCTTCAAGTTGTAAGGATTAACCTTTTATACCCGGTATGTTAAAATCTACCTGTACATTTTGCCTCCATGCTGTGCTGAAAATAATGAAGATGAATATTAAATAAGTTCTTGAAGTAATTCTATTTTGGATTATCAATGTGCAAAAGAAAACTAGGTGATAGCTTCCTCTGTTCAGATATATTTTGGATGTGATTCTTGTATGAGAGCTGGGCTGTTCTTACTTAGTCCACTTTAGAGTAATCTCCCTTTGTAGTGGACAAAATGTTCGTTTAATGCTTAGAGAGGCCTCAAAACTTAACAACAGTTGTTGTCTGTTTGTTGTTTACTTAATACTAAACTGGATTGATCCAACAACTTAATTCATACACACACAACACTTGTTGAAGGAAGTGATTACTGTTGTTACTGTTTCCTGAAGTATCTATAGGTAATAACAATTAGGCATCAACCAGATGGGAAACAAAACCTGGAAATAATAGATGAGACTATGTTGCTTTATATTCCTGCAGATGTTGTATTGAGTATTGAGACATAAGGAAGTGACAATTCCAAGGGCAGTATGCTTTTTTCCACGCCTCACATTCCATGTACTGTCTTGGTAGAGTCTGCTGTATGATTGCTGGGGCAACACACAGCAGGGATCTACTGGCCTTGTACCATACATCTTGCTTTTCAGATTGTCTACCTTGTATCTAGTGTCTTCAGATTCACGACATTCAACAAGAAATTACAAAAGCCGAAAATGGCTTCATGTGTTGAAGTATGTTAATTTCTGAAATGCGAGTGTTTTTTCCATTTGAATTGTTTCTGGAATGACCTCCAGCAATGGGCTGCCCTTGTAAGGAACAGGGCCTAGATTTTCAAAGCTCTCTTAGAGCTAAGATAGTTGTAAGTTAATGTTAATGTATGGCACTTTCGACTATCTTAGCATTAAGAGAGCTTCGAAAATCTAGGCCCAGGGGAGGTTCTTCAATGTTAGGTGACCTCCAACCATATGCTGCTCTGTTAGAAGAAGGGGAGGTTTTGGGGGTTGTTTCAGCTCTCGTGTATTTGTACAGTTTTTGTACATAAAGAAGCCAAGGCTATCACTATTCTATTTGACATTGTACAGACTTGACTGCTATTTGAAATGTCAAGACATGAATCAGCATGTATTTGAAGCTTTAATTTCTCCATTTGGGGGGAACCCGACGAGCAGGAATCAGACGTGTGTATTTACAAACCCAGGATCCCAGTGCCTCATCCTCATCAAAGCTAGGACGTATGATAGTGCTCACATTCAAAACATCACCAGCATGCCCAGTTTCTTCTTGACGAGGAGTCAGTCTGTCTGTCAGCACATATGACTCCAGTTTTTGACGAATTCATCATGTCTTTGCTTATGAATTGAGACACATTTGATAACAAGCATTCTTGTCAATGTTGAATGGAAATACATTTTCCTAGATGAAATAGGTTTGACCACTGGAGAGAGATACATTTAGGTGCTTTGCGTGTTGTCATCACTGCAGTACATGTACGGGCATGCTGATCGTAAGCCTGGCAAATATGGGGCCTATGATAGTGCTAACCAAGGTAATACTCAGATCGTTAAACGTCTGCATCAAAAACAGGATAGCTGGTGCTGGGATCACTCATGGGAGGGAATCATCATCTGGATTTGGAAGGGTCAAGTTTAGCCAAATTGTGTTTCAGCATGAACCGCTTATTACAAGCTGTGGTCCAGTTGGTTGTTCTACTCTTGTTGATGACCCTGTGTAGAAGGATGTCCTCAGAGGTTGGCTGTAGTGATACTTTGTCAGGGTACCTTAGAGCAGAATTCTAATCATTTTTTGGAGTTTGAACTTCAAATAGGAAGTCTAGTGATCTATCTCAAGGACACGTTTTGTACTAAACTTCACTCATACAAGTGATTGTTTTGTGCAGAATGGAAAAAAAGTGTTTCTGCAAGTTTCGAGACGTGTCCTGATGAGATCAGTGTATCTTGACACCTAGTATCAGTTGTGGACAGCTCTAACTAGATCCATGAGAATATTATGAAGTAACCGTTAAACATGTATGTACACTTCCAGGTTTCCAATGTCTATTGTACATAATATTTGTGATTTATTTGAAGCTTGCATATTAGGCACACAGACTTTTTAAGGATGAGAGGAAGGTTTGATACGCAATTCCAAATACTGTGATATGATGTTGGATGTGACTGATGTATTTGTGTGGACAGCAATGAGAGAGAAGATTACACAAAGGGAGGCAACTCCCAAGACTCAAAGTGACCCTTCTTTGGTGTTGAGTATGATATGAATATGCAGGATTTGTGTCCATCAGCCTTAGAAATAACCAATTATCGTCAGTCTGTATACAGTACAACTATCAACATAATGGTAACATGAGGTGACAGTATGGACAGGCTGGTACAGGCTGTATCCATCCAAAAACTCTTTGGGCTGAATTTTACTGTCACCATTTTACCTTGTTTAAAAAAATGCTGTTGCTTTAATTAAGTCTGCTTAAAGATATCTTCTAAACTCCTATGTCCGTGCTGCCAGCATCCTGTAGTGTAGATCCTCATGACTCGGCATCAGGTAGGCAGTGTGCCTTATTCATTATGGTGTTCATGATCTAGTCTTTTGAAAGTTGATGCACATATATATATATATATTAGATCTTTCTCGCTAAAATTTCAGGTTCTCATGATATATTGAATATACCAATATGAAAGGTATTTAGAATACCATGGGCATATAACCTGTATATTCAGAAGGATTTGATGGAAGGGATGATTTATAATGATAGTGATTTATCATTCATATCTTGTCACATATGCAGCGATGCAAAACCATTATGTGTCACTTTACATCTTCACATGCTTTCAACATCAATCTCATTTGCATTTTAACGGAAAGCTATCACAGAGCTAGTGATAGGACGTAGATGCTGAGTGTAAACCTTGTAATTACTTATTAACTGATTTATCACACAGATGAGTGTAAATCTAGTTATCACACAGATTGTAGTGCCTGAAAGGGGGAGCAAGGAACTTTGATGTCTTTCATTAAGACAGTCCTTGTTTTCCAGATATTGTGTGAAGAGTCGATGTGTAAAGGAATGACATGGAACAGTAAATGTTTCCTCCACAGTTGATCTGCCCCATACACTGGTATGAGTCATTGTAACTTGTTACATTGGCATGAAGCCATCTTTAAGACTGCTCATGACTGTTTTCAACATAAGGTCATCCTAATGCTTGCTGTTACACTAATGGCGACGTAGTCTGAAAGCAACTGTCAAGTGAGAACAAGTATGAGCAACAACACTTGATGGCTGTGCATTTGGAAATCTTATTCCCAGTGTGACATTAAGAGCAGATCATGTGATGAGGAATATAGGATGACTGAGGATATTGGAAGGTCTGTGTTGCTAAGGTTTACACTCTGCATCTATAGAACTGTGCATGTCATGAAGCTGGCGGCTGTGATGTCACATCGTATCAAACAACAAATGTCTCTGTGTTGGTAGGGACTTGCCTGGACCCTTGGAGTAGGCAATTGGAAGGGAGTAAGCATGTTCAGGGGTTTGTCTCTTGTGATAGAATGACCCTCATCTCGTTATATATTCTTCATTATTTTGTAGGATGGCATGTGAAAGAAAAACTGGTTGCCAGTCTTTGGCAGCAAGGTTATTGTGTACCTTCTAGCAGTTGACCATTGTTGTGTACATATTATACACACTGCTAGAGGGAGCATTGCTTTAACCGTGCTTAGCTGAAGCATGGTGACTAAATTCAGCCGGTAGGCAACAATCAGTTGATGATGAGAATTTCATCCAAATTCATTTTAAAAAAAGTAGAGAAGCAGGTAATGTTTCTGATACATTTTTCTTGAAAATGATTTCTCATTCTTCAACAAATCATTGGTTAGCAGAAAGAGTGAATGGCAGTCATGATGATGGATAATTGTCAACTGACGTGGGTTGTTTTAGTGAAGTGGGGAGGGAAATCCTATGATGAATTGATTATTGTCCAAAACATTCTTCGGGAGGGATGGGTAAAATGGGTGTGGTACTGGTGGTGGGTGCTTTTGGTATTCTTTGAGTGGGGAGGGAGGGTTGGAAAGGGAGGTAGTGAATACATGATGTCAACTCAGTTCAGCAGTCATGTCTGTTATTTGAAAAATGTGTTTTGCCAGATGCCGTCTGTTTAGTCCCACAGAATAACATGGCGATATGCTGAATGGTGGACACTGCAATCAGTTGTAGATAAATGATGAAAGGTTGATCTCAGTTCCCCGCTTCTTTCTTGTGGGATACTATTTGCTGCTCATTATTGTCTATGCCTTCATTTTGTATTATTTACAAAAATTGTACAGATATAAGAAACAATGCCATTGCTGGAATGGCACAAATTGTTACAAGCAATTCATGAACTAATATACTAGGAGGAAGACATGAGATTTGAAGTATTAACTCTAGTTATGACGTGATTGCAAATGACTGCAGTCTTGTAACACTATGGTGCTTACATCTGCATTACTGTATTTGTTAGAAA